AAGAACTCTAAATGCCCAGACATCTATCTTCAAAGATCCAAATGTTACGATAATTATGGTATCGTTCGCTGCAGACAAAACCCCATTGGAAAGCAATTATATCATTTTTGTTTGTCAATCACATTAACTTTGCTGCTTGAAATAGGAATTAGGTAATAACAAATCACTTGAGGAATACCAAAGTTATTATTTATACCACGACTATTATGCAGGAGGAAATCTTGAAAAATAGTAGGTCGGCTTTATGTGTATTTGCATTTTCAACCAAAGATTAAGATCATTCCTATGGTAACCCACTGTGGCCCTCTGTTTTACCAACTCGTTTCGTTATTCAAACGCGACAGACTGCATACAGAAGCTCAAGCCAAAGGTTGATGAGTACCGTAATATTATCATCCCTTGGTCTTGATATTCTCCCGACTGGCTGTAAAACGCTCACCATAGTGGTGCGTCCGTTCGGCAGTGCGGGATGTAAAATTCGCAGCCAAGTCCAGTAAGAATTAGGACGTTCAATCAGATGCTTCTAGTAGAGAGTGTGCCACGCTCTCTGAACATTAAGAACTTTTGCAACAAATCTCTGATGGTTTTGTGCATGACCTATTGCCAGGTTTATTTTCTGTCCATATCAAATGTACCCTCAATTTCCAGTGGCAGATTAAATTGTCCTCCCTTCATCTCAGTCGACCCCTATTACAGGGTCTAGCTATTGTATGTATTGTTAATTAGTTTTTTTCCTGAACATGAATGTAATATTTGCCATTTGACGTTAAGCAAATCATAAATCAATCAATCTAAATCGCGTGTGGCATTTTTCCATTTTTTGCTTTAATTTTACTACACTTACCTCATTAAAATAGTTGAAATACATGCATTCTTCGTAGGATTTCTTTGCTCTATATAAAAATGATTTAAAGAACTATACTCCTAATATAATAGTTGAAGAATAAAGATTCGATTTTTTCAGATATAAATTAAAAGCTGTGGTATGAGTGCCAATGAGACAACTCTCCATCAAAGTCACAATGTATAAAAAGTTAACAATTATAGGTCAAGTACGGCATTCAACGCTGAGCCTTGGTTCACACCAAACAGCAAGCTATAAAGGGCCCCAAAATGATTAGTGTAAAACAATTCAAACAGGAAAACCAACGGTATAATCTATATAAAAAACGAGAAACGAGAAACACTTATGAACCACACCAACAAACGACAACCACTGAACAACAGGCTCCTGACTTAGGACAGGTGCATAAAAATGCAATGGGTTTTAACAGGCGCCAACCTTCACCCTCACCTGAGACAGTAGTCTGTGTAACATTACAACATAAAAAGACATACTATAAAATATCAATTGAAATGGCTTAACTCGACCAAAAAGACATTTAAACAAAAAAGAAGTAAACATACACTGAACGAATAAGTTTGATCGATGACACAATATAAATTCAATATTAATAAAAAAAAAGATGTAGGAACAGTGTCAACAAGACAACTTTAACCTGAGACGTAATGGCGTTAAATAAAACAACGTACACAGGTAAACTTTTTTACAACATTAATAAAGTGAAAATTTATCGTCATACTAAATACATGGTGGTACATATCAAAAATAGTGAGACGAGATATAACACAAAATAAGTAAACATTGAATTACAGAAATGCATTACAAATTGTGTCAACATGTCAAATTAACACGAAAGTACGATTTGAGAGTACTCACAGTTACTGAAAGCTACTTAAAAGCCAAATGCAATTAATAATAAAAATTCATGCATCAGAGACTAAAATCAATTAAAACATATCCCAGGGATTTAGTGTTTTAACACCATGGACAGTCAAAGAAGACATGACTTCTGCAATGCCAAAACAAAAGTATCGACAGGCAGTAGGATCGTTAGGATATAACCTTATAATAAATATGTATGTTATATTTAGATAAAGCAATCTCTGAAGATAGCCTGATGACGTAATCACTGAACAAGATATTTTATCGTATCATTTGTTTGTTCTTTTTCTTTCTGAGGATAATCTCCCAAGTCATTGCCCCTGTATTCAAGTTGTTCCGTTTAATTATTTAAGAATTGAATGCTTTTATTTTTTCATAATGTTATTGGGGTGTTCAAGTGATTACCGAAGACCACTTTGTATGAAGCACTCACTCACAATGTGCGCACGATCAAAGTTTTTACAACGGTTGCCCTATAAAATTAAGAAAAAAAAAGAAGCATTTCATTCTTGTAATTACATTTATATGCTACGATAATAAAATAACGAGTTATATGAAGATTTCGTTTGTTTCCTACATGTATGCATTGGAGTGACGTTGTCATGGGAAGCACATGCAGTTATGAATGTTGTATTTCATATAGAATTACGATTTGATTATGAAATGCCTCAAAAGAGCGGATTCTTATGAAACATACATGTAAAGTAATTATTGTCTCTTAAACGAAAACTCCACATTTCCCCTTTTCAATATCTTAAGTTATTCATGCACATTTGTCCACGGAATATAAGTCTTATAACGTATGACTTCGCTTTATTCTGTGCACTACATTTGCGCGCATTACCATTACATTTGCGCGGAAAAATCATTACGTTTGCGCGCAGCTTTTGATTACATTTGCGTGCATTCATTTACAGGTAAACTCAAGTAAATACAGGTAGATTATACTTAATTATTTATTTAACTATGATTCCCGAGCAGGATAAGTCCGTTTTATTGTGCACAAGCACTCAGTTCTGGAAATATATACAGATAAAAATGTAAAAACATAGTGAATTTAAAGATTAAAAGTATTAATTTTGCATGTCGTAACTTGCATTGAAATACATGGATGTGCTGAATACAATTGCTCACTGGAATGATTCCGGGACGTTTGTAGTATGCCTGTATTCTGCTGATGGTAGTGATGTCCAAAGACCTGAAAGAAATAGGGAATCTGGTGAAATATCTTTGCATTTTATAACGGTTCATCGCCATGACTTAAGTGTTCTGTCGAAACGGAAAGTAAATCCATCGATCACTAATGATTTTTTCTCCGATTTGTTTGGGACAAACGAAGAATCTCCATGTGTGTGCCATGAAACAACTTTACAAACTGACTTAAATTATTTATTAAAGTCATCACTATTCGGTAAAATTATGAAACCGAATACTATTCACTCTGAAATATTCGCAATCACGTTACATATATATGTCTTAAGCTATTACGGAATTTCTCATGATCACTTTATTTTTTTTAGAGTTCAATAGGAAAATATATAATTTAGATTCATTAATATGTCAAAATTCATAATAACTATAAAATATAGTCATACATTTATTATGAATGATCTTTATTTTACCTGTGTTATCTGTAAAATGAATGCGCGCAAACATAAAAAGAAATAATCCCCAAATGCGTGCAAATGTAATACGCCCGCTATTTCTGTTTGCATTTCTTCGTTTTTAACGCTGATATTTATATTTATCTGTTTTGTTGAAATGTTATATCGGAACTTTTAAATTTCTTATAAAATATATGCTTCACCCATAATAAATCGACAATAACGTTGTAATACATTCATAATTGCTAAAATTTATTCGGTGTGGTCTTTAAAAGAAATTTGATGAAAATATCGTTGAATATAAACCCGAGGTCATATTCATAGGACTTATACACTGTACGAAACACTAGCGGTTTTTATGTTTAATGAATGACTGTAGGTCTCTTGGGGTAATAACTGCCAAGAAAGCGGTGGTTCTGTATCTGTATTTTTTTTTTAAATGTGATTACAATATAAATGATGGGTTTTCTTTAATTTTAATATTATTTTAAATGAAGACAAATTCTATTTTCTTAAAAAGGTAAGACAAAATATTTAACTGGATCCAATCCCGGCTTATCCAACTTTACCGAGAAAATCACGGATTATCTCCAAATATCCTAGCAAATCCAGGTTTATATCAGCTTAAACTTACAGTGAGGTAATCCGGGTTTAAGCTGATATTATCCCAGTTTTTCTGAGTTGAAGTAGAATTAATTCATTGAAGCGGTTACGACGTGTCATACACACCCTACAAATAGCTAAACTTTGTTCGTGCCAGTTGTACTTAACATCAAGCTGTATTAGAATAAGTACTGTTATATAACTAGACTAAGTAAAACTAGTTTATTTATATAAACGTCGTGCAAGTAGCAAACGGAGAAACACCAATTGCAAACGAAAGGAAATATAATAAATAACAATCAGAAGAGTAAAATTTTTAATTCTTATAATAAATTGCTGTAAAATGTAAAGATACCACAAACATTTTGATAGTGAAAAAACAACAACAGCAAAAAAAAAAAAAAAAACAAACAAAGAAAAGTCACTGTCCTACTCAAAGGAATTTGAGCGTGTTTTCGATTCCGACCTTCATGTTATTATAAGTTCATATATCATTTTCGAACTCGAGTTCTTATATATCTTAATCGATATTAAACTCGAAAAAAAGTATTATTTCAATTCTGAAGTAGATATTCGTCTTTTTACTCTCATGTATATCTTTATTTTTTGTCACGAATCTGACTTCTAAGACTGTAGAACAGTGACTAGGGTACACTTTTTGGATGCTCCTTACTAAAAAAAAAATATTTTAAGGTTAAAATTCAAGAAATACGGCCTATTTCGTAACAAACTGTAGATTTAGTTTTAAAATTTTGTAAAAGCCTTTGGTTTATTTTTTAGCTTGCACATATATTTGAAAATATATCCCCCTTACCCCACCCCAACCTCCACCCCTTCCGACACACACACACCCAACCCAATCACCCTTTACCAACACATTCACATACGGTTGTCTTTTAACTATTTTTAAGCTTATAGAACAATGCATTTGAACTAATCGATTTAAACGTGTACATTACATTTAAACTGTTCAGTTTTGTTGTGTATTAAATACTAAGATGTCCTTCAGTCAATGACTTTTTGCTGACATATACACATTAAGTCATGCGTGCAATGTTTCTTTATTCTTTATTTTATAAATAGATAGAATCAGAGGAGTTCCAAATGGTGCAATTCAACTTTTAGTTTCGGTTTAGAAACGAATATCGTAACTATAAGTTTATGGTAAGTCATATAGGAAAGCAGTTTAAGGACAATCACCTAAAACTTTTGGAAAGTAAAATGTAGCATTACTACATGTTTTCCAAACTAAATTAGTATGTAAAGAATTAAATATGATTCAGGCAATCATTGTTTCTGCGTTTACATGGTAACAAAGGCTTTGAACACATTTTCGTATATTCGTACATTTAACAATAATTTGTCAAAATATTTAAAAGCTGAAAGGAAATTTTTCAAAATGAACGTATTAACATTGATACACACCACTGCTTTTCTTAACAGGGAAGTATTTAAATTAAAAAATATATTTAATTTACACGGCATATTTGATTTGATACTTATTATAAGTAACCATTTGTTTAAATACCAATGGAAGATACATGACTGTACAAAATGTGTGGTATTTAAACAAATGGTTAATCCTTATTTTTTGCACTTTTGGATACACGAATTCCATGAAGTTCTCTGGTGTTAATATCACCATATAACCAGAGGTATTCAATCCTCTAAAGAACCAACGCTTCTTGTTTGCTAAAGCTATTTTTTATCATATACTTTTATTGAGTTTTGTTTCAATTATGGATTTGAATACAACAGTGTATTGTACGAAGCTGCTGATAAGTTGTCTGTCGTTAATTATCTAGCACGTTTACAGTACGAATAGGATTTTATTTTTTCAACATAATTCATTGTACTGGGATTTGTACCAGGTTTTAGTAATTGCGAATACTCTTAGATTGGTACCTTCGTTTTGTATTGTAGTATGTTTTTTTTTTTTAAATTCATTTTAAGCGTAGTACCGATTTTGCGATTGTCACCAACAGACTCCCAACTGATTTGTACAGTTTGTTCGTATGATGTGTTGTTACAACACTGTTCAGGGTTAAACAAGGATGACCAGTCACTCTATATATGCCTTTACCAAGCCACAATCCTGCAATGTTGTTACAACACTGTTCAGGGTTAAACACGGATGATCAGTCACTCTATATATGCCTTTGCCAAGCCACAATTCTGCAATGTTGTTACAACACTGTTCAGGGTTAAACACGGATGATCAGTCACTCTATATATGCCTTTGCCAAGCCACAATTCTGCAATGTTGTTACAACACTGTTCAGGGTTAAACACGGATGATCAGTCACTCTATATATGCCTTTGCCAAGCCACAATTCTGCAATTCGCCTTCTCAGAATCTAAAGGACTATGGGTAATCTCATTGTTCATACACCAAAATGAAAATAACGTTACATCATTGGTTGGGTTTCTATTGTTCAGTACGTTTTAAACCAATCACAACGTTTTGGTGTACGCTTTTTAAAATATTACCCAGAATGCATTAGATTCTGAAACGGCGAATTCACTGGTTATTTTCGGTTGGTTATTTCAGATTTCTTTCTCATTCATTGATGAGGCAACAATTTTAACTTTGGCTTTCACAATTGTATTGTTTGAACATAATCGATGTGTTTTGCTTATTGTTGAAGGCAGTACGATGACCTGTCATTGTCCGCACCATTCTCCCGTAGTCTTAATGGATATTTTTATATTCATTTTACGCTGCATATCCTAGTCATATGCGGTTTTATTTATTTTGTTATAATATTTCGCCACAAAAGAGGAAACTTGATTTTTGTTTACGCCATTTAGCTACATCATTATTCCAATTTTCTACTTCCAGATGGACCGCACAAAAATAAAAGTTGAACGAGATGTGTGGGAGAATTCTTTCGTAGAACAGCATTACAATAAAAACCATGGTATAATTCCACATACTGATCCAAAAGAAGACCCTAAATATAACGAAAAGAATAAACTGATCAGGAAATGCCAGAAAATTGTTGGAACAAATGTTTCAGGGAAACCACCCTTGAATATTGCAATCGTAGGAACACCCGGCGGAGGTAAATCGTCACTTTTAAACACCATATTCGCTAGTTTTAGTACAGAAAGTTGGACAGAAATAGTCCCATTTGGAAGTTTTGGCAGAGCACAGAGACAGCGTACAACAAGATTCAAAAGGTTTGTATGTTCCTCTCTCTCTCTCTCTCTCTCTCTCTCTCTCTCTCTCTCTCTCTCTCTCTCTCTCTCTCTCTCTCTCTCTCTCTCTCTCTCTCTCTCTATATATATATATATATAACGTCTACTTTTTCATTTGTTTTGGTCTGTTGGAAAATGTTGTTTGTGCTGTATTTAGCCAAGCAATTTGTTTTGCATGCACACGTATAAAAATCGCGGTTCTTATCATACGCAATCATAGGTTTGAACGTTGTCAATTAAGACTTGTATATATAACGTCTAGATACTAGTCAACGATCTTTCTTACGAGGGCGCTGAATCGTTACGAGTAACGATACCTGTACACAAAATAAATAAATTATATAAACGCCTAAAAAGTTTACAAAACAACACCAATATTAAAATTATATATATACATGATATATATATATATATATATATATATTTTGATCTTGATTTATTGATTGAAGTATACACCACATCAATAACTGGAAAGGAGAATGTTTTTGGTTTTTTTTTTTTATTTAAAAAAAAAAAAAAACCCAAAATGATTTTAACAAATATTTAAATTTTTGATAGTTTTTCCAGTTAGAATAATGTTAACTTCGGACTGCTTATTCACTTAGTTTTTCTTAACATGGTCATATTGGGAACCGTTATATATTTTTAGAATTGTGCGTAGTGTACATACATGTATTGATTCTATTATTCAGAAACTTGCATTTCTCAGTATTTTGACAATAGTTATTATTTATTCAACATAACCATGATAACACTTAGTAATGCAAAAAGTTCAGTAGAAATATGAATTTCGGAAATCATTTTAAATTAAAAGGAATTATATATCGCCCCCATGCAAAGCTCTGATTCCTGTCTGGATATGACTGTACTTTAGGTTATAATTTGATTTGATCAGCTATTCAACGTTTGGATCAGGTTTTGGATGTTCAAAGATTTTGGTTCGAGCATCACTGACGGTACATTATTTGTCGATCTGGTGCAGTAAAATTTGTATCGTTATTTCATTAACAAATTACAAAATGTTCTATCTTTTTTAATATAATATTCTAACTCCCAAAACAAAGAGAGCGATACGTTGTCAAAAGAAATGGGCTAAAGGGCAAGACTTAGTGGAACCTTTTGTAAATCGTAAATTCGTATGTTTGCTGTCTTTGAATGTTACACAACCAGTACGCTTATACAACAGGTAGTACATTACGTTTTTTTTTGCTACAACTGACTGAAGTGTTTTTGTTGTTTTTCTAATGACTAATTTTATACTTTTGAAATATCTTGTTTGTTCTGGTGGATTTTAGTCATTAGAAAATAAATACCGGTGAATCAGTACGTACATTTCCATTAAAGAATGTTGTCCTGCTCTTTACAAATACAACAAAATCAAATAAATGTTCCGTCACAAGTATTGTGTTCCTATGACTTAAACTCTGACTACAGCTAATGAATTCATTTTCAATTATAACAGAATATTTTAGACAATCATATTAGAATGAAGGTATTGTTTTTGAAAAGATTGGAACTATAATCGTCCATGTTTCTTCTTATACCCCATCTCACTAGGACCACGATCCCGCTACGACCTCAGAAATTATCAAAAAATTTGGAAGTCGTATAGTAAGATCGTGGTGGTCGAAGTAAGGACGTACCAAGGTCTTCATGATCGTGGAGGTCCACGACCAACTTTGAACATGCTCAAAACATTCGAAGTGCAGTCTTGGCCAAAACTAGTCGTAGTAGAAGCGTAGGAAGGTCGTAGTAAGGACATAGTAAGATAGGTTTGGGCGTAGAAGCATCGTATTGGAAACGTGGTGCAATCGGGAACCCAATGGAAAAGGTTTCGCTGAGACCTTATTATGATTTCACTGCGACTTCTCCGATTTCACTACGTAAAATGTATTAATTACGCTTCTAATACGATATTGATACGATTATACTATGATATTGATACGATTATACTACGATATTGATACGATTATACTACGATGAGGAAGACAATTGTACGCTGCTACTACGCGCTTGCCGTCCTCAGTACGGCCTTACTACGACACTTCTACGTCCTAGCCACGATAATTGCACGACCTCATTCTGTTGATTAAAAAAAAAAACGATTGCATTAACTTCTACCTGTAGTTCAACCGTGGACACACATGAGCAAACGAAGAGCACAGTGACAACGTAGGGGAAACGTAGTGGAGTCGTGGTTCGGTCGTAGTAGACTCGTTTTTAGATCGTGTAAGTCGTGGTAAGGTCTTATTAGAGATTTCCAATAAAATGACATTACTCTACATAACCAACGTATCTGAACGTATCTCGGCCTTTTGCATTGAACCATGACTGAGGGGAGCATAGACTACACGATTTTTTTTGCTCGTTGAATACACATATTATGTTGGAATATATGCTATTCAAAAATTAACCCAATTCGCTATTTTTAATCTTTCCAAATTTTGTAATCAAATTCTTGAAAATGATATTGACAACAACCTTTTAAAGGAATAAGTAATCCAGTTACCGGAATCAAATGCACCGATCATTACTTGGTCATTTCACTTGACCCATATATTTAGATCTCAAATGAGGAATGTTAAAAACAACTAAAATCAAAATTAAGTTTGAAATTATAATAATAATGAAATCTGAAGCGAAATGATATTTTCATTTTTGATTTATAAGTTATGAAGTTAAAACAAGAGTTTCAAACACGCCGGAATGTAAAAGATGTACACGACTAACTTATTTGTTTTAGCATAATTCTATAATTTATTTCAAGATACTTTTGTCCGACTCAAAAATACTGATAACAGATGCATCTATCTGATAACACTTTGTCATCTTTCTCAAATTCAGTGGAATTTTATAAGCTGGAATATGGAATTTATTGGAATGCACCTTCAAGAAAAACATGATTACACTTTACCAAATCAGTATTTTTTCCACCTTCTTTTTTTTTAAAGATCCATGGGTATAATTTAACGTCATTGCTCACAAATTGTTTTTGTGAAATGTTGGGAGTGAAACTCAAACAAATACGTATAAAAAACGGACACAGACACGCATGGATTTTTTTTTATTGTAGTTTTGGTTAGTAGGATTCTTTTTTTAACAACTTATGTGGAGCATGATCTGCTTACCCGTACAGAGCATCTGAGATCCCTCACAGTTTTTGGTGGTGTTCGTGCTGCTCAGTCTTTGGTTTTCTATGTTGTGTTTTGTGTACTGTTGTTCTTTTATTTGTCTTTTATTTCTTTTACATGGCATTGTCAGTTTGTTTTCGACTTGAGTTTGAATGTCCTTTTGGTATCCTTCGCCTCTCTTTTATGATAGAAAGGGGTTATTATTTTTTTTTGACTGTTTGTCCGTCCGTTCATCCGTCCCGTTCCAATTTTAAAACTTTTAAAATTATATGCCAAATAAAAGTTTACCTCAATTAAGTGGTTTTCCGCACATGGAAATGTGATAATGTCAGGAGCCACGGTGTGTTACTGCCACATATTCTTGTGTCTTATGTTTTGAATATACATGTGCATGTATGTGTATCTTGAATATTCATAAACGCCTCTGTGGTCTTGTAATAGCTTGCTCGCCTCGGATGGAAAATGTATGGTCATGAGTCAGAATTATGTGTCCGGGTAGAGTGCCATGTCATCCTGTGGACCCTGTGAACTAGCATGTTAAAAAATTTGACCAACGTCTAGGTCTAATACAAATTCTGGTTCATATTCATTTTCTCGTCCTGAATATGCATATTCAAGCTACATAATTATGCAATGCAATGAACACTTAATATCCAACATTCTGTTGAGACTTATATCAAGTTTTAGCGTTGCACAAAGTCGTGATCTTTTACACTGCATTTGACTTATGACACATGCACTACAATGATTTTTGCAGTTAAAAAAAAAATTGGTGACCCTCAATTATTGTTTATCAATAAATGGATAAAATATTATAAGTGAAGGCACTTCGAGGGATATAAAATATTTTGCCTGGAAATGTCTTTTGTATTTGGACTCGTATAGCATTTTAAACTGTCGTTCCCAATAAACAAAATAACACAGACCAATCCTTTATCGAGCACACCTTCTAAAATACAACCTCTATAGGGAATTTTCTATTTATCTATTTTATAATAAAAAATGAATCGGCTATTTATTATTTATGTATTGTCACTGTACGATGAAAACACTTTACACAATATCATACATGTTGAAAATTTGCTATATACACGATTTCATGACTAAACATATTTGTTTAATTTATTTCGTTATAGCTACGTCAAAGATACTTACTACAAACGAAGCGTACAAGACGCTTATCTCATGCCGACCTTTTTAGACATGACTGGATTTGAAGACGATGACTCCGAAAAAAGTGTGGCACTTCTCGAGTTGTTATGTACTGGTAGAATAAAGGAAGATGAAGAATTAAGAAGTGCCAAAGACTACGCAACAAAATATGGCGCGGAAGCATTATTGGGAAGATACAACAAGGGAGTATGTCATCGTCCGGTTGATCGGATAATTGTGGTCTGTACGTCAAATCTTGATGTTAATATACCAGAGAGTTTTTTAAATGCAGTGTGGAAAGCTTCAACAAAGCATAGAGGTAACTATGACATGCTATTAGTATTAACCAGTGCAGAAATGCATCATTTGTTTGACTATTGTGTTGTCCGATCGTCGTTCTAATTGGTTTTCGGGCTAATTTGTTGATACATTGATATTGACTTGGGCGACCATTTCACATGGGAAAATATCCTGCATAATTTTGAATGATTTACCGCCATCGAAAAATTTCAGCAACAGTTTGTCCCAGTAGGCATCGTTTATGTTAAAACAACTTATGGTTTTCTTTACACACATCTACTCTATAATTATATATAATGTTTGTATGGTAATAATGTAGGTCATACATGCTGAAAGTTTTAATTTGGCGGTTTTTAGCTCACCGGGGCCCGAAGCCCCATGTGAGCTTATGCCATCAATTGGCGTCCGTCATCGTCCGTCGTCCGTCGTCTGTCGTTGTCGTTGTCTGTCGTCGTTGTCGTCCGTCCTCGTCGTAAACTATTTCAAGAATCTTCTCCTCTGCAACTACTGGGCCAAATATCTTCAAACTGTAACTGGATGTTTCTTAGGGTTTAAATTGTTTATAAACTGTATTCAAAGTTTTGATCCATCAACAAACATGGCCGCCATGGTTAAAAATAGAACATAGGAGTCAAATGCAGTTTTTGGCTTATATCTCAAAAACTAAAGCATTTAGAGAAAATCTGACACGAAGTTAACATGTTCAATAGGTCAAGATCTATCAGCCCTGAAATTTTCAGACGAATCGAACAACATAGTGTTAGGTTGCTGCCACTAAATTGGTAATTTAAAGAAATTTTGCAGTTTTTGGTTATTATCTTGAATATTATTGAAGATAAAGATAAACTGTAAACAGCAAGAATGTTCAGCAAAGTAAGATATACAAAAAAATTAATATAACCAATATTGTCAATTGACCGCTTAAGTAGTTATTGCCCTTTAAAGACAATTTTACACAATTTGTTCATTATGTTTGCTAACATTTAAAAATCTTCTTCTCTGAAACTACTAGGCCTAATACTTCTTAACTTAAACTGAATGTTCCTTAGGGTAACTGGATTATAAATTGTATCCGTAGCTTGATCCATTAACAAACATGGCCGCCATTACTAAAAATAGAACATAGGGGTCAAATGCAGTTTTTGGCTTTTATCTCAAAAACTATAGCAGTTAGAGCACAAGTGACAAGGAGTTAAAGTGATGAATAAGTCCAAATCTATCTGCTATGCAATTTTCAGACCAATTGGACCACCCATTGTAGGGTTACTGTCCGAAATAATTTGTTTTTGATAAGTTTTTGGTTATTATCTTTAATATTATAATAGATAGGGAGAAAGTGTAAATAGCAAAAATGTTAAGCTAAGTAGGATCTACAAATCAGTTAAATGATCAAAATAGTCGATTGACTCCTTAAGGGGTTATTGCCCTTGAAACGTTTATTATTTACATTTTTATGTGCGTCTATTAATTTTTCAAATTTGTTTTTCTCTGAAACTACTGGGCCAAATACTTCCAAACTTTAATTGAATGTTCCTTATGGTATTTAGTTTGTAAATTGTATCCGAAGTTTTGATCCATCCACAAACATGGCCGTTATGGCTGAAAATAGAACATTTCTTTAATATTAAAATAGATAGAGAGAAAATATAAATGGCAATACATTTTCAGCTAAGTAAGATCCACAAATAAGTCAACATGATCAAAATAGTCAATTGACCTATTGCCCTTCAAACATTTTTATTTTGTTTACATTTTTTGCTAATTACTTTTTTCAAAAATCTTCTTCTCTGAAACTACTTGGCCAAATATTTAAAAACTTTAATTGAATGTTCCGTAGGGTATCTAGTTTATAGATTGTATTCGGGGATTTGATCCATTCGAAAACATGTCGGCAGTTTTTAAAAATAGAACATAAGAGTCAAATGAGGTTTTTGGCTTTCATCTCAAAAACTAAAGCAGTAAGAGCAAAACTGACACAGGTAAGAGTGTTAAACAGATTTAGATCTACCTGTCAAGTAATCTTCAGACCAAAAGGACAACTTATTGTTCGGTTACTGTACAGAAATAGTTAATTTTTAGGAAATTTTACAATTTTGGGTTACGTATTATCTTTGATATTATTATAGAAAGAGAGAAAGTGTAAACGACAAAATTGTTCAGCAAAGTAAGATCTACAAATAAGTCAAATGCCCAAAACTGAAATTGCAGGTGAGCGATATCAGGCTCTCATGAGCCTCTTGTATATATATTCTAAGCATGGGCATCTTAATTATTGACAAAGTAGTTATCCTCAGGTAGGTTATTGTTACGTTTGATGGAAACAGCCTCTGTTGTGAACAGAAGAGAGATTAGAAGTTTTTACAAACGTACTTCTTATATCTATTTGTACATATGTACGTTCAACGGGTAGATATAATGGCAACAAAATGACAATAATAGCTTGTAATGCTCCAGTGGGTCAGTGCAGCTGAATATTTTCAAGCTATTAGATGTAAATTATGGTTCATTTTTCTTTAATGGAACTACCATTTCTAAATATAACAGAAAAATAGCTGAATGAAGAAATCAAAATAGCAGCAATGCATTGGTTGGAGTAAGCAACATTCTACATTAAAACAAAAGCATTATCGTAATCGTTAATGAAAGGAAAACTATCAAATACCATCGGGATAAAAGCTGTAGAGCACTTAACTTTTTTTGTATACATTGAGTGAAATTAAATGAAGCGACAGAGAAGACCCACTTGAAAAGATAGAATAGAGCAATTTTTTTTCTGAATTGTTTTCATTCCAGAGCCATTTTTAATAAGTGTTTAAATCGTAACTTGAACTCAAAGTATCACAGTGTGTAGTCAATGGTTTTGACAATATTATGGCGGATTTCTAGACATATCATCTAATTATAAACATCAGAAGACAACTCAAAACCGCAATTTTTACAGATTTCGCAAATTTTGAGTATTTTTTCCAAAGATATATAAGGGCATCGGTAACCAAAACCAAAATTCAATTGATAGTAAAAGGATGTATAATTGTCTCTAAGATACGCATTAATTTATTTTAGTGAACGATTTCCGTTGATTCAAATTTTTTCACAAAAGCATGTACAATTTGCCTTATTTTTATCAAATTGCCTCAACAGCACCTTGTAGTGCAGAATAGCATTTTGATTTTATGAAACTATGCAAAATATGATATACACTCTTTTTAATATTAATTTTTAAGTTGAATTTGAATACCTTTAAAAATTATATTTTGGACATATGAGTGAAATAAGCACAGGGAAACACAGCCCTACCTCTTTCAGTAAAAGACAACAAATAAAAAGCAAGATTTTTTTGGACCTTGCAATATCACATATGTGGAGTACGGCCAAGATAAAGTAAGACACTATCATGATTATGCAATACAGAAAAACGCCAAAGAAAACGTAAGTGCTGTTGAACATTTGGAATGATTATATTTTTCATTTCTCTTTTTTAAACAGAAATACCGGTTTATGGAGTATTGACATGCAGGGACAAATACCCACCAAATGTCGTAGAAGACAGAATTAAATCATTTCGCCATCTCCTGGCATTACCCAAGTGTAGGTTTGCTCATATCATAAATTACTGTGATGCCATCGATAGCGAAGGGGTACATTTTGATACAACTATCCCATCGCTGGATGTACCAGTATTGCAGTTCATGAAACAGGTAAAATAACGTTAATATGTTTACTGCTTAATCAAGACTGCTAGACACACGCATGCTACTCTGGTAGTGGCGTAAACTGATTATCATTTGATATATTTGATTGTTTAAAAACTTGACAAAATTTTTTTAGATTTTTCAAGATGACAAATGAACTATTGTCATCTACCTAACTTTTTAATCATCAAGTTTATTTTCGACTTGTAAGTTTGAATGTCCTTTTGGCATCCTTCGCCTCTTTTTTAAGAAATGTGCACCTATCTACCTATACAACTATCCACCAGAAACCAAATGACGTAGATGTTATCAACTATAGGTCGCCATACGGCCTTCAGCAGTGAGCAGATCCTATACCGAATACGGCAATTCAGAAAAAATCTTTAAATCTTACTTTAGATTAAACTGTAAACCAGCCCAATATCAGCCTGAAAATCATATGGTGATTATATTTTAGTACCCCTTCTTGCAACTTTTGCGTAAATATAATTGAAACAGGATATGTATAGTACCTATAGTGCTGATCGGCCCTTTCACATTGTTATATTAAAGGCTAATAAGCTCAAAATGAACTGCAAATTGTGTACGATAATTTAGTTTTTCATTGAGCTCGAGGGTGTATTATTACTTTTTCCCTAAATGTATATGGGAAAAACCAAATGATTATGAACTTTCTTTCAAATTTTATTGAAAGCTTTTTTCATGTTGTAAATAATAGTCATATAAAAAAGAAAATGTGGTATGATTGCCAATGAGACAGCTCTCCACAAGAGACCAAATGAAACAGAAATTAACAACTATAGGTCACCGTATGGCCTTCAACAATGAGCAAAGCCCATACCGCACAGTCAGCTATAAAAGGCCCCGAAATGACAATGTAAAACAATTCAAACGAGAAAACTAACGGCCTAATGTATGTATATAATTAAAGTGTAATGAGAAGAATAAATGAGACCGAAGGTCATAACACTGAATAAGATTTACAATAACAGAATATATAAACATTTTATAAAACAGTCGAAGAATTCTTATAAAAACTATATTGAACAGCCCAACAAAATGACGTCAGTAAAACAAGACAGACATATAACAAACATTGGTCCGAGAAAACAGTTATGACGTAGTGAATTTATCTAAAACAGAAAACAACAAAAATTAGCACCTGTTCTATCCAAAAAAATATTTTTTCAGTGTAGTGTATTAATTTTAATATGCATTCTCCAATATTTGCACAAGTCTACAGACAAGTTTTCACTTTTGGTTAGGTTAATCTGCATTTTATTGCTGTTGTTGTTGGTAATGTGATGTTAATATTATTATTATTATTATTATTATTATTATTATCTAGGAAAAATACATTATAAAGTTTACATTGCGAACTAACATTTATTTGTTCTTGGGATGTTTTAACTCGACTACATGTGCATGTACATGTATAAAAATAAGATTGCCAATGATACAACTGTCTATCAAAGAACACATGACATAGAAGGTTATCAACTATAATAGGTCACCGTTCGGTTTATAACAAAGAGCAAAACCACATAGCATGCTATAAAAAGCCACAAAATGACTAATGTAAAACAATTGAAACAAGAAAACTAACGCGCTGATTTATGTAAAGAATAATTAACAAAAAAATGTGCTTGTTATTGCTTATTTAATCTTAGCATAGTTTTTAAATGGTTAAAACGTAAATGATGTTATTAGATTAAAAAAAAATTATAAACATGTTTTGTTTTTTTTTTATTTCAGGTTTTGAACCCACGTCAAGATGATCCAACACAGAAACAAGTCAGCAAAATAGACATATTGGCAATTTTTGCATTCATATTTGCTGTGGTGGCATTTATCTATGTACTTTTAATTTCGAATCGTTAATTATGATTGTGTATACTACTTGTTTTGTATTTTCATTTTATATTTAAAACAATGTTAACCTTTTAGCTCATTTTAATTGGAATCTCGTTATTTAATACAGAACTATAGATGTATGTGTTTGTATTACATTGTATTTGATAAAAAATTAAAATAAATAACAGTATTTTAAACAAGTTAACATCGAGGTTCAGGTGATAGGTTGGGTGTATGGGTTCGCGTCAATTGGAAGAAAAACAAAAAATTCATTTGCCCTAAAACGATGGTATCATTTGGTGAAATAGACTCTGTCCTCCCCAACCGCTAAAATCCGGTTGCCATGATTAAGCCAAGGTCATTAAAAGTGGTGTTAAACAAAAACAAACAAATAAACAAACCCACAAGCGGTTTAAATTCACGCTTCATGCTTGTATTGGCATATTAATAATAATAACTGTGGTGAGAAAGGAAAGGATCTTTACGCACTCAAACAAATCGAATACGTTAATTAATAATATTCAATTGATATGATTATCGGCAATATGAAATAACTTTGTTCTTGAAAAGTATTAGATATACGTTAGATGTATAAGTATACACTCATCTGGATAGGAAATTACACGATCACAGTACAATCAGAGTTAGTTTACGTGTGAAAAAGACTTCGATACTGTGTTTGCTCTTAATGACAAGATTGTTATCGCTAAGAGTACTTTTGTATTTTGGTATCCTTAGTCTTGTTAAACTATACACAAATTTCTTTAGTTTGTCATTTGTAGAACATTCGACTTTGCAGCTTACATGTAAGATTATCAGTAATAACTTCATAATTGAAATATGAGTAGGACTTATTTATTTCTGCATCCATCTTTGTCTTAGGAAAATCAAATAGTCTGTCATCTGTTTATCTATTTTTGATCATTTATTACAACTAATTTACCAATTTTCGTTCGAAATTAACTTTGAAATTTACTAACTTGTCTTGAATGTAGGATAGAATCCTGAACAGCGTGGATGTAGACACCTGGTATTTAAACGCGTTCGTGTGCATCACTGGCTGTCGACAACAATGATTTCACGCAATTACAGTATTTAAGAAGGGCCTCGGTGGCCGACTGATCTAAGTAGTCGAACTACTGTATCACTTGCTTGTCAACACTAAGGTTGTGAGTTGGATTCCCGCACGTGGCAGGTGCACTCTTCTTAAATCTTAATTGACTAGGATTTTTAGTTTTCCTACCGAAGGTCCGTAGTTCTGTCGAGGCACTGTGGCTTCCTCCACAAATAAAAACTGTCCGCCACGAAATATCACAATAGTGTTGAAAGTGGCGTTAAACACCAATCAATCAATCAAACAGTATGTAAGGTTTGACTTATAATAAAGTTCGACGATGTTCCTTACATATGGCAGGAATATCAACGTATGGCGGGGTTATACTACTCTTTCCCCTTTCCCCCGTACTCCTGCACACTCAATTTTTTTATGACATTTTGGAATCATGCCTTTCGAAAGAAGTAGGCCCAGTAAGACCCCTTTTTGGCCCCAAAATAAAGCAGTTTTACAAAATTGTTTAAATGTTAAATTTTAGCTATTTATTGGAAAGAAGAATACTTCTGTTACATAAATATGGGCTGTTTTTGACAATACAATGCACATGTATCGGGTACTAGCATCATTAATTCATGCTAAATTACTGAAATCTTCGAAATTTTAGCATTTTGGTTAATTTTTAAACGGTTTCCGTCTGAAATGGAAGTGGCCACATTTGTGTTCATTCTTAATATTTAAATGTAAGTTGTATTTGATGATAATACATAACATATATAAAGGTTGAGAATAAACACGGATGCGGCCACTTTCATTTTTGACAAAAACCATCTGAAACTGACATATTATGGCATATTTGATAGATTTTTCATATTTAAGCTGGAATTTGAGCGTCTTTAATGACTAAATTAGTTCAAATCTTTCACATAAACTAATTGAATCGACTGAAGTAGACACTAAAGTGTTTAAAAAGTGTCCAAAATCTTTCATCAGATGAACCTGAATTTTGAGGCCAAAATCGGCCCTTACCGGACCTACTCCTTTATCGGTGTGTGTACTTCCATGCAGATTTCATCCAGCAAACAGAAATAAAACCCAATCCTCTACATAATGTTAATGCAGGATTATTTAAGGGGTACAATATGTAACTGAAGTCGTCTATACGTACTTGAATATAAAAAATAAGAAGATGTGGTATGATTGCCAATGAGACAACTGTCCACAAGAGACCAAATGACACAGAAATTAACAACTATAGGTCACCATACGGCCTTCAACAATGAGCAAAGCCCATACCACATAGTCAGCTATAAAAGGCCCCGAAATGGCAAATTTAAAACAATTCAAACGAGAAAACTACCGGTTTAATTTATGTTCAAAATAATGAACGAAAAACAAATATGTTACACAGCAACAAACGACAACCACTGAATTACAGGCTCCTGACTTGGAACAGGCACATGCAGAATGGGCGGGGTTTAACTCGATTGAAGGCCCCAACCTTCCCCATAATCTGGGACAGTTGATTATTCAGTCGTATAAAGCATTGAAATGTACGCAATAGATACAAATCACAGAAACTAGAAATCGGGAAGAGTTTATCAATGAAAGTTCAAATATGAATTACAAGTTGAACATATCAAAATATAAATGAGGCAAAAGAGAAAACTCTTGTCCATGATATTATATCTTTTTAAAACGGAGTTCAAGTATGAATACATTTTTACAATTCCTTTACACTGTGTAGTCCGGTAATTGTGGTAACTGATTTTTACCGCTAATTTTGCAAGATACAATCATTGCCAATTAATTTACCATGTCTTTAGAGAGGAGAACATATTTGTAAAAAAAATAAAGGACTACGACGACAGAAGACAGACGCCAGATAAAAGCAATCACTCACATAGGGTCTATGTGACATTTGAGGCACAGTTACTGCGCACTTACCTCTAGACCACCAGGTCTGGAGTCATTTGAAGAACGCATATGTATGTTCATATGCAATTTTTACAGTTTTCTTCGAAACTGCGGGTAACTTAATTATGAAAAAGCCAAATATCTGTAAGGAAAAGCGACGTTTATACAGTATCAATTAATAATATTCTTTTGTAAATTCTACATGAATGGATAGATGTAAAACGCCAGTGGCAAATAAAACATGCAATACAGGACGGAAATGGGTTAGATAATATTTTTGTTCGCTTTGGAGATTCCGTATATCGTCAGGTTATCGGAATTCCAATGGGGACTAACTGTGCACCACTTATTGCGGACCTTTTTTGTATTGCTATGAGTTACAATTGATGACAAAAATCAGCAAAGACCCATCGAAACAACATCTGATACACAAATTTAATAATACTTTTAGATATTTGGATGAAATTTTGGCTCTCAAGAATGACGACTTCAGTATGTATACTAAAGAAATTTATCCTGTTGAACTTACTTTGAATAAAGCTAATACTAACAATGACCACTGCCCTTTCCTCGATCTTGATATCTATATCATTAATGGAAAGCTTAATACTAAAATATATGACAAAAGAGATGATTTTTCATTTCCTATCGTTAATTATCCATTTTTAGATGGTGACGTTCCCTTGTCACCATCTTACGGTGTTTATATATCTCAACTTGTACGATTCGCTCGTGTATGTAACAATGTTTTAGATTTTGACGAGAGAAATTTATGTATTACTGAAAAATTATTACACCAGGGTTTTCGATATCACAAACTAGTCAAAACATTTACTAAATTTTATCATCGGTATAAGGACATCATTCGTAAATATAGCTCAACATGCAGACTCCTTTTACGTTCAGGTATTTCACATCAAATTTGTTATGGAAATATTCTTTATAAAGCACAAAAATGTCAGTATTCACCTCTGAAGCTAACAAAACCTTTAAATAGACTTATTAAGAAGGGATATAGTTACGATACTGTTGTCAGGTCATTAAAGATTGCATATTTTGGCGTTAATATTGATTCACTTATAGGGTCTTTGCATCGGCACTAAACACATTTATTTAAAAACCAGTTGTTGGCATGACACGGGTTATATTCTTCTCATATATGTTATGATGGTATGATACTAAACCCCTAACGGGAAGGATTGTGCCTGATATTCATATGATGAAGACATAATCTTTCAATCAGTTTAATTGAAGTCTGGAGCTGGCATGTCAGTTAACTGCTAGTAGTCTGTTGTTATTTGTGTATTATTGTCATTTTGTTTATTTTCTTTGGTTACATCTTCTGACATCAGACTCGGACTTCTCTTGAACTGAATTTTAATGTGCGTATTGTTATGCGTTTACTTTTCTACATTGGCTAGAGGTATAGGGGGAGGGTTGAGATCTCATAAACATGTTTAACCCCGCCGCATTTTTGCGCCTGTCCCAAGTCAGGAGCCTCTAGCCTTTGTTAGTCTTGTATTATTTTTAATTTTAGTTTTTTGTGTACAATTTGGAGTTTAGTATGGCGTTCATTATCACTGAACTAGTATATATATTTGTTTAGGGGCCAGCTGAAGGACGCCTCCGGGTGCGGAAATTTCTCGCTGCATTGAAGACCTGTTGGTGACCTTCTGCTGTTGTCTGTTCTATGGTCGGGTTGTTGTCTCTTTGACACATTCCCCATTTCCATTCTCAATTTTAATGTGATATAAAACTAAAAAAAAAGATGAATCATGTCTTGTACTAGATGAACACTCAGAGCTGGAATTTCACCATACCCGGATACAATCCGACTCTGATCCAACCAGCAAAATATTGTCAAAATGATTAACAGTAGTCTAACAAAAACATTTTTTATCAATTAAGCCACCAAGTATGATTAAAAGAACATTTCCTAAATATGCTTGTTTCCTAATGACATTAAGAAAGAAAAAATGTCTTTCGCATTGCTTTAGTGATGTAGTTCTCTGATATGCATTCGATTCTACTATTTCAATATTTCCTCTGTTTCTCTCGAGTTTTTGTCTTATCGTGCTCATTTTGCCATTGACTCTTTTCTTAGAATTCCAAAGGCTATTCCAGATTATACAAACTTAACAAAAGTTAGTACATCAATCAGTAAAACAAGGCCAACGACAATACAAATAAAAGAAGCTCCGGCTAATCCAATAGTCTCAGAAGATTTGCGTTTATCA